CTTACAAGAATCACCCAAAGCTCACAGTCCGCCACCAGAAACAATGCTTGAAAATGGCTTGCCTGTGGATGCCGGTGATAAGGAACTATCAATTAGGAGGCAGGATAGTTTTGAAATTGGACTACCGGAGTTGCCCAAGCTTGATGTTCATTCTACCCAGCGGCAGAAATCAAACGGTTCAGACCCAGAATCCCCTGTATCACCACTTCTGACATCTGATCCTAAAAGTGAACGTTCCCATTCTCAGAGTTTTAGTAGGCCTCACAGTCACTCCAATGACATCGTGATGAATTTTAAGAAAGCAAAGGATTCACATCATAGGAAAGCTCCATCCTTTTGGAGATTGACACAGCTTAGTTTTGCAGAGTGGCTTTATGCTGTGTTGGGAAGCATCGGTGCCACAATCTTCGGCTCTTTCAATCCGCTTCTTGCTTATGTTGTTGCTCTGATAGTAACGGCATATTATAGGCGTGAGGAACGTCATCACATATGAGATGAAGTAGACAGGTGGTGTTTGATAATTGCCTGTATGGGTATACTGACGGTTGTCGCTAACTTTTTGCAACACTTCTACTTAGGCATTATGGGAGAAAAGATGACTGAACGGGTTTGCCGAATGATGTTCTCCAGTATCTGAATCTTAAAATTAATATTGTAAACTTACTGGAATGCTGAATTCCATGCATATTATTTACCTTGTTTTGCCAATTATGTTACAGCAATGCTGCGAATGAAGTTGGATGGTTTGATGAAGAAGAGAATAGTGCTGACACCTTGTCCATGCGATTGGCTAATGATGCTACATTTGTACGGGCTGCTTTTAGCAACAGACTTTCAATATTTATACAGGATAGTGCTGCTGTTATTGTTGCTATACTAATTGGGATGTTGCTTCATTGGCGGTTGGCACTTGTGGCATTTGCAACCCTGCCAGTTCTAACTGTCTCTGCTATTGCACAGGTTTGCATATCAATTTTTTTTTATGTTAAATGCGTTTATATATTTGGTTTTCACTTCATTATTGAAAACATGAAGTTTCTGGAGAGTTGTGCTTTGATGTTAATTGTTGTCAATTCCATGTATTGTCTATGTTTATTTTTCTGCCCTATATCTTTGCTTTTTTCTTTCTTATTGAATTTGGTTGGAAGATTCTCCTTGTCCGAATTTCTAAATATTGGGCTACTTAGATGTTACAGAAATTATGGCTTGCTGGATTTTCTAGGGGAATCCAGGAGATGCATAGGAAGGCATTATTGGTCCTTGAGGATGCGGTGAGAAACATTTACACTGTTGTAGCATTTTGTGCTGGTAATAAGGTAATGGAGCTCTACAGACTGCAACTGAAGAAAATATTGAAGCAGAGTTTTCTTTCATGGAATGGCAATAGGGTTTGCATTTGGCTTTTCACAGTTTCTGCTTTTTGCCTGCAATGCTTTTCTTCTTTGGTACACTGCCCTCTCTGTTAAAAGACGCTCTATGGATCTGCCTACGGCTATCAAGGAGTATATGGTTTTCTCTTTTGCGACTTTTGCACTGGTTGAGCCATTTGGGTTGGCACCATACATAAAGAGCGGAAATCTCTCACTTCAGTTTTTGAAATTATTGATCGAGTTCCTAAGATTGAGCCAGATGATAACTCATCATTGAAGCCACCTAATGTCTATGGAAGCATTGAGTTGAAAAATGTTGATTTCTGCTATCCTATGCGTCCAGAAATGTTGGTATTGAGCAATTTCAGTCTTAAAGTTAATGGGGGACAAACTTTAGCCGTTGTTGGAGTTTCAGGATCTGGGAAGAATACCATAATATCTCTGATCGAGAGATTCTATGATCCAGTTGCAGGTCAGGTTCTACTTGATGGCCGTGATCTAAAACTCTACAATTTGATGTGGTTGAGGAGCACCTTAGGTCTTGTTCAACAGGATCCCATTATTTTCTCAACTACTCTCAGGGAAAACATTATATATGCAAGGCACAATGCTAGCGAAGCTGAGATGAAAGAGGCTGCAAGAATAGCTAATGCTCACCATTGTATCAGTAGCTTGCCCCATGGTTATGACACGCATGTGGGTATGAGGGGTGTGGATTCGACCCCAGGACAGAAACAAAGAATCACTATTGCTTGAGTTGTGCTGAAGAATGCACCCATCTTGTTATTGGATGAAGCTAGCTTGTCCATTGAATCTGATTAAAGCCAAGTGGTGCAGGAGGCACTTGATATGCTGATAATGGGGAACAAAACAACCGTTTTGATAGCCCATAGAGCCGCAATGGTGAGGCATGTTGACAACATTGTAGTGCTTAACGGTGGTCAAATTGTGGAGGAAGGAACACATGATTCTTTGCTAGTGAGAAATGGCTTGTATGTTCGTTTAATGCAACCTCATTTCAAGTGCCAGCATCGGCTGGTTTAGGTTGCCTTTACGATTGATTGTAACTAACATTGGTTCTTCTACATAGTACACGTCCCGCATATCTGAATTGCTGGAACTGCCACCAACCTGTGGGCTTCACTGAATCTCTTGGTTGAAAAATCCAGAATCAGAAAGGACAAATGGGGATGATGCAGCTTGTAATGATGTCCTCAGGTGACAATCAATCGAGGGTTGTAACAATGTCCACTCCGGTGAGTAGGCACAGCAGCAGCTATAGTTACATTGTTTAAAAGTAGGGCATAGATCCATATTCTTTATGAGTTTAAGCAGCATTAGATTGGGGCTGTGTGTTGTTTCCATTCTATATTATTTTTCTTTATTGATCAGAAAAGGGTTGATAATTTTAGTCCTATTTTCCAGGTTTTGCCTCTGATTTCTATAAATTTCTGCAACTCTTCTCTCCAAAGCTTGGATGATGTATGTGCCTAGCTGTAAAATTTTCAACTTTTGATTACCGATAGAATTAGAGGAAAAAATGTTGTAATCCCTGTAAATAAAAGTGCATATAATTTACAAATTTTTTACTTTGCCATCATTTCTGCTACTTGAGTAATGTTCTGCTATATCTCTTTTACTCTGCTAAGCTTTTCTTGCTCAGATGAACATAGAAATTTGTGATTGCTTAACACTTAAGAGAGCCTCATTAACAAAATTCAAGAAATGGATGGTAGTAATAGGGGAAGAAGTAAATTTCACAATTTGTGTATGTTTATTTTGTGTTTAATACATATAAATACAAAATTTATTGTATCATAATTTGTGTTGATGCAACAAACATAAATATTTTTATTTATTTTTACCAAATATATATAAGTTTTTATTAAAATTTTAAATTATCGTTTTCATGTGTTTTTTTTTTTTTTTGTATTATTTTCATATAATGATATGTACAATGTTTAAAATTATCAAATCTAAAATGAATAGTAATAATTCAGGTTGATGATGCTCAACGACGAGAGAATCCCGTTGTTTCCGACTATAGACAATGAAACGAGTTGTCTTTTTCACAGGTTGAGGATTGCCCTGCTCTGTAAAACTGCATTTCAGATGTTAAGCACTTTGAAGGAGTCGGCCACCACTTTCAGCTTGTTGCGGGAGCTTCTCCACCGTCTTTCAAGTGCTCCCACAACCAGTGTGTAATATCTGCTTGCAAAGAAATGCAAGTCAATAGGTTAAAGAACACGAGGAAATCTTTCTCCTTTGTTGTAGTTCATATCTTCACACCAAGTAAAGACTCTGGATCAAATGAAGAAACCTGTCTTGTCAATTGATTTTGTGTAAATATGGCTAAGCCATTGTTCAAGGATTGCCATTTCCAACAAAAACGCATCAACTATTTTAGTTATGAAAATGCGAACAAGTAATATGAGTATGACATAATAAGAACACGATAATTTAAAAAAATAAAGATATAAATAAATGCAACAATTGAATTTGACATTTTTGAGATGATAAATTCTCTACGATTTCCAATGGCTATCGTTGCAAAGGAAGCACTGGCATAGTTGGGAGAGGTGAGTTGGTATTCAAAGGTGTAAAAATTTTTCCCATCACTTGTCTCTGCATTTTGATGAAAGAAAATTGTCAGACTCACAATTAAAGCTATATGCTATTTTGTTATCTCTTACTAATAAAAACTGAAAGAAAGTTGCATGTATTTTGTACAAACCTCTTGCATATCGAGAATATTGGCCACTTGATTGGCGATGCATAAACTTGATTAAAGAAAAAGTTAATAGAACTTCATTTTTTCCAAGTAATTCAAGGAAATAGACATGATAATTTTAATTAAGATAAGGTAACAAGATGCGAAAATAATACGAAAAAAATAATAAAATTTTAAAATTTTAACAAAATATAATTTTGATAAAATTAAAAATTGAATTTCATTTTTTACGTATTTATATAAATTATAATGCAACAATTTTTATGTTTTATACATATTAACACAAAATAAACAAGTAGAAGACAGAATTGCCATACGTACAAGAAAGCAAGCGTAAGAATTGCCATTCTTTTACCTCTTCTATTGGCCCCAAATCATGGATGTCTTTTTTATCAGTTGATATGAATCTCACCGTTGCATTGTGCAGTTGAAGAAATCTGTGCTTGTATGCAGAATCATGTCCCCTAAAGTCAAATTCCAAAGAAAAGCGACAGCTGAAATCAGATAAGGGGATTTGCAGCCAAAACCAAGGCTTCAATTTGTTAGTATTGAAACAACTTACAGTCCAATCTGATGGCTAGTAATAAGAAGGGATATTTCGTTTAGCCTCTAAATTATCATAATTTTTTAATGTGATATTTAAATTAAAATTTTTTTTATCATATATCTAAAATTTAATTTTGTGTATTAAATTATTTTAACTCTTAATACTATTAAAATAATATTAGTATGATATTTTAATATTGATATAAATAATACACGATTATTATTTGACAGTGATATACATGACAATTACATATTAGATCACAAGGCAGTTATATGTCATCCGTGTTAATATTTCAATGTCACATTAGCATTATCTAATGATGTTTAAGGGGAAACTTAATACATGAAAATTAAAAAATTTTTGTTTAGGTACTATATTAAAAAGTGTAATAGTGCATGGGTCATATGGGAATTATTCCCAATAAGAATACCCGTTTGGAATGTCTCTGTCAAATGACAAAAGCAAGAAAAGTTGAATATTCAAATGACGGTTTCCAGCCGCCAATCTCGCGGGTCTCTACGAGACTTTCAATGGACCACACACCACACAATCATCATGAGGTCCCACCATCATTTGGTCGGCGATCCAGATCGCTTCCTCGCCGAGTTCTCCGTTGCTAAAATTAATCACAACCACACACGTAGCAAACTACTCTTCCTCTGTGTCATTTCTTACCGGGTACCTGCATTACCGGTTCCTTGGCCGTTATTTTAGGTATGTACAAAAGAAAGCTCTTGCTAAACACTTGACACAAATTTGAGAGCTATATTCTTAGAAAGCAAAAGAGCAAGAAACAGTTCTTGATACTTCTTTTGAAAGAGAAAATTTGCATTGATAATTTGTTATTTTTCCTTGAAAATGCCGATTAATAGAATTACGGTTGAAACATCGAGCGAATCGAGCCATCCAGATGCGATAAAGGCAGCTTTCGCAGAGTTTTTTTCAACGCTTATTTTTTTATTTGCCGGAGAAGGATCCGGCATGGCTTTTAGTAAGTTTCAAATTTTCGAATATCATTATGTTTTTGATAAAAATAGAATGTTTATTTTCATGCAATTATGGGCTTAGAAATTTTTTTTGGATAAGGATATGTTTGGATGTACAGTGGGGTACAGTGGGATTGTATTGTTATCTGTTCAGTGAAAAATATATTTTATTTTATTGGACCGTTCATCCAAACATAACATATAATAAATTTTTAAAATGAAAATTTGTTGCTTTAAAATATATTAATTCATAGTTACTAGTCGAATGATTAAAAAAAAAACCATTGAATTAGTTGAAACAATGATTATTACTGGGCTGATGCTTCTTGTTGGCAGACAAGTTAACGAATAATGGGTCAAGCACACCTGCCGGTCTTGTAGCTGCATCGTTGGCTCATGCATTTGCCCTTTTTGTGGCTGTTTCTGTTGGTGCTAACATTTCAGGGGGTCATGTCAATCCTGCTGTGACCTTTGGGGCTTTCATTGGTGGCAGCATTACTTTGTTGAGAGGCATTTTGTACTGGATTGCACAGTTGCTAGGGTCAGTCGTGGCTTGCTTCCTTCTTAAGTTTGCTACCGGCGGATTGGTAAGAAACTTGTGAAAATTTTAATCAATCTTGGTCAGACTTAAGAGTACATGCATCTGCCACACGAACATTTTATTCAATTGATTGGCATATAATCTTTTTATCGGAGCTTTCAAATCTACTTAGTCTTAAATTTTTTAGCAATTTAAAACTGTTTTTGTATAAAAGAGATCACAACTTGAGACGGAGAGAAATGGTTGTTGGTATTGAGATTCAAACTTCAAACAAATTAAACTTGATAGATGTCACTTTTTAATAATGGTTGCATAAACCGAATTAAGCTCTGATTCAACAACCTGAAAATGTTAAATATAAGTTCAATGTTTAATTTTAGTGGATTTGATCATTTGCAGGAAACACCAGCTTTCTCGCTATCATCTGATGTATCCGCCTGGAACGCACTTGTGTTTGAGATTGTGATGACTTTTGGCCTCGTCTACACAGTATATGCCACAGCAATGGATCCAAAGAAAGGAAATTTGGGGATAATTGCTCCTCTTGCAATTGGTTTCATAGTGGGTGCTAACATCTTGGCTGGTGGTGTTTTTGATGGTGCCTCAATGAACCCAGCAGTGTCATTTGGTCCTGCTGTTGTTAGCTGGACCTGGACTAACCACTGGGTCTATTGGCTTGGTCCATTGATTGGGGCCGCCATTGCTGCCATTGTCTATGACAACATCTTCATTGGTGATGGCACCCATGAACCTCTTTCTACCACTGATTTTTAGGTGATGGAGAGAATAAACAAATTGGGAAAGGAAGAAGAGGTTTCTCAGGGTGAAATTGGGGTTTGTTGTAGTTGTAGTTCGTTCTAAATTTGTGTTATAGGAGTGTATAAGAGCTTCTTGGCTCTCCTGATCTGAAAAACTTGAGAAATTCTAGTCCATGATCAATCCCTTTCAATAAATTCCATGTAAGTTATGCTAATATATCATCTATAGACCGGAAACTACCATCTAAATTTACAAGGAATTATCATGAAGGGATGAAAAGAAAAAGACGTCTAAACAGAAATATACATATGTTAGGTGGGTGTTTGGCTAAGCTTATGGAATGGCTTATCTACTACAAAAACATAAATCATTTGGCTTTCATAATTTTAAGAGTTTTAACTTACACAGGAAATAGATTAAACTTTTAGACGAAAATATAAATTATTTAATAACAAGTTTTTCACGAAAATATTTTATATTCTCAGTTTTTTTCTTCAAAAATTTTGTAAATTATAAGAAAAATTATATTATTTTACATTATTTTTATTTCATCAAATTTTTTATTGAATTCTTTTGTTTTTTTTATTATAATTAACCGAAATATCCTTTTTTACCTAAAAACTTATAATTTAATTTAATAAAATTGATTATTTAATTTTTATTTATTAGAAATATATAAAAATACTATCGAATAAATTTTTTAACGTTTTACAATACTTTTATATTAAGTTTGCCAAACATTATTTTAACTTTTCTTTATAACACTTTTAAAACAGCTTTATTTTAGCAACGCTTTTTATAAAAGCTTGGGTTGGACCAAACAAGCTTAGATGCAAGGTTTTCGAGCTTTGGTATATATTTAACAATTAAATAGATATATATTTAATAAATGAAGGGCATTCAATAATTGCAGTTAATTAAATATTAAATTACCATTTTAATCTTAAGTTTAATTTATGAACTAAATTAAAGTTAATTAATTAAGTAAATATAGTTATGTGAGGATAGTTATGCTTTTTGGACTTGATCTTGAAAATTGAGAGTAATTATGCAATCTAACCAGACAATTTTAGTTATTTATGTCACATAATTGTATGTGTCGTACAAAAATTTTATGGCTCAATCCAATGAAAATTGTGAAGTACACTCAAAATAGTGATGTATTGAGTCACAAGCAAACTGATAGGGAAGCAAGGAACTTATGAGACAAAGATGACAACTGGAATTAGCTTCATTGATTTCTTCAATTACCCAATTCCTGTTAGAAAAGTTGGATTAATCACATTAGAATTAAAATGGATCATAGGTAAAGCAGAAAAGAAACAGAATTGATACTATTTGGAGAAATGAATGAGCAAGAAAGGGATAAAGAAGGGCTAGACAGGAAACTACCAAAAGAAAAAGAAGAAGAAAAGGCATAATCTAAGCAAGCTCTTAGTTATTTTCAAGTTGAAGATCAAACCACTATTGCAAACTACCAAATTTATAATTGCAAGGAAATAATAATAATAATGACAACTTTGAAAGGAGCCATGATTAAATTCGAAGTTTAGTTTAATTGGTTCGTATAGTTATTTTTATGAAGTGATATCATAAATTGATATTTAAATTTCAACATTTATAATTTTTTTTTATCTTAGGCTGAAATATTCTTTATAAAAAAGACACAATTTTAAAATAAAAAATTACAAATGTTAATCATTTCTTAAAAATTATTATATAAACCAATTTAATTTTACTTTTGAAAAGTAAAAGAAAAGCTTATGCTCTCATATTTCAATTGTTTCTACTTTATCTTTATTGATTGCACAAGATAAGTATAATTTAAAAAAGAATCATATATAATCTCAATCAAACAATGAAAGGATGATTTGTATGGTTAGAATATATAAAACGCCATTGATTTTTCACCTAAATGGTTTATCACAAACATAAACTTGAAGATATCAATAAAATAAAATTCATTTCTTCTTCTTCCTCTTCGATTTATTTTTATGTATTTCAACTTTAAACTGATGTATCCACATTTTCTTTATTTAAGTTACATAATATGAAATTAGGGTTTTTTTTTTTTTTTTAATTTGAGATTTAATTTTGTTAATTCATATGATCACTTTTAAAGCTTAGTTCAATTGACATTTAATATGTTTGAAATTTAAATATCAACACCTATAATCTTTTTTATTATTCTCAAGTTACGACCTACTTTATATTAAAAAAATTAATTTTTTTATTTTATATACCAAAATGTAAATTAGTACATATACAGTTAAAATTTTAGGGCAAGACGCTTCGTCCTATCAAACAAAGCTTCGGGTTCCAATTAATTGGTGATATACAATATGAAATAGATGTGCCTACATTCTTGGCTTTAATTAGAAATATTCTTTGTAACAAGAAAAATTTTGATATTGGGAACATTTTGTAATTCAGTGTACTCAAGTCATATATTTCACATTACAAACATAATAAAATATTAATATATGATTATTTTATATATAAACAAAATAATTTTTAAACTCCATGAACTGATTTTTATAATTGCTATGTTTTTATAATAATTACATTAATTTACTTAATTAATAACTTAATGGACATATAATAATCCTCTTAATTTGCTTGTGATTGATATTTAAAAAATTTTACCATTGATGTATACAATAATTTTCATCATTAATTGTTCACAGTGGGAAATAGTGGTAACATAAAAAACATGATGAAATGAATTTGAATATAAACCTTGATAGAGATTAGAAACTAAATATAAATATTAAAGATTACAGCCATTAAAAAAAATAAATCTCCCACTTAAAATTAGACACAAAACAGAGAATGACAGGGTGAAATGGTCCTTCCATAACAAATAATTATTTATCATTTTTTTATTGGAAACAATTTGATTTTTGAAGTATATGTATGTGTGCTTGCTGTTCCCAGAAAAGCATTCACTACTATCTCACCTGCGAACTTACATAGAAAGAAACGAGAGAGAGAGAGAGATGGAACCTCAACATTTTATCCATAATCATCCTCTGGTTTCCAATGAAGAGCGAAGACAAGAAAGTGATCAGGAGGTTTGTTGCTCTGGGTGTGAGGAGGTGATTTCGGGTCCAATGTTTAGCTGTGTGACATGCTGGTTTCATCTTGACAAGAACTGCGCCATGGCACCTTCTGAGATAAATCACCCCTTTCATCGTAACCACAGCCTTAATCTTCTAGCAAGCTCGCCATATAGTGCAGGTTGGTGTTATTGCAATTTCTGTGACAAATATTGCAAGAAGTTTGTTTATCATTGTTCTTGTGGTTTAAACCTTCACATCAAATGTGCTTTGTTTTTGTGTGACATTGCTGAAAAAAAATTGGAGATCAGCTTCAATGGATTGAAAATAAAGACCCATCCATCTCCACTGAAAATCATTCTGAAGAGCTCAAGAAAGCTTAGTGCTTTGCCTGTTGGAAGCCTTTATTAGATTCTGCATACCTTTCTCTTGATTCTGGATTTTGCCTACATAAAAAATGTGCTGAGCAACCTCTTGAAACCAATTATCCTCGCCACCGCCAACATTTTCTTTTTTAACAATTTAATAGTCATCTTATCCCTTGCAAAACATGCGAAGTAATCCGATCTGGAGGATTGGTTTATTGCTTCGCATAAACCAATAAATTTGTGTTATAGGAGTGTATCAAAGCTTCTTGGCTCTCTTGATCTGAAAAACTTGAGAAATTTGTTAGGAATAATGACTCAAATCCCATAGGAGATTTGTTTGAAATTTATTAGATATTGCTTGATGGATAAGAGGACTTGCAGAAAAAGAATTCTAAAAAAAAAGAGATTCTTAATAGGCAAGTTTGACTTACAGAAGAAGAATTCTAAAAGGAGAGTGATTCTTAATAGGCAAGTTCGTATAGTTATAAATAGGTGAAGTCTCTTCTAGGTTAGGTATGAGAAAAAGATATAAGAGAGTTGTGGGATTTTGTGGGATAAACACTAAATAGGAGTACTGGGGCTTTACGTCTTATGGGTGTGTATGTTTGTTTGTAAGTGAACTAGAAGAGACTGAGAGGGTCTATATAGGTATGATGTATGGGTGTATATGGGTATGCGTTTGGTTATGTTGAAAGAATGCACATGGGTTTGTGTTTGTTTGAGTTGAGAATACTCCATAAGACTAAAAGAGATTGAGAGGGTTTATGGGTATTGATTGTTGTATGAGATTGATTTGAGTATGTTTGTAATTCTCTACAACTGGTGGATTTTGTTTCTCATCTGTGAACGTAGGTCAGTTGGACCAAACTATGTTAAATTATTGTCTCTTATGTATTTGATTGATTATTTGATTTCACTTCCGTTGGTGTGATTGGATTGGAGGCTTTTAACCTAACCAGTGGTATCAAAGCTATGGTAATCCCTAATAAGTGGTATCAGAGCTGAAGGTTCAAGACTTGGAAAAAGTTAAGGGTTTGAGTTATGAGAAGAGGCAAGCCTAGAGGAGCTCAATATTGCGCCTGAAGCAATAATTACAACAATACAGAAGCAATAGACAACAATCAATAATCAAAGACGTAGGAAAAATAAAGTATACCAAGATTTACGTGGAAAACCCTCCAGTGTAAAGGAAAAAAAACTACGGACCACTAGAAAAATCTTCACTATCAAATAATAGGTATACAAAGTTCTTCTCTAGCTAAAACTAGAGCTAATCAACAACTAGAGAAACAATTGGAGAAATCTCACCAAATAAGTGACTCAACAAATACACCATAGATTTGTTCCTAGAGAGCTTCAAACCTGATCTTCACCATTCAGAATGTAGAACTTTGAATCATAAATGTCCTAACAAGGTTCCAATTCAATCGGACCACGGATCGACTTTCGTTCAACCAACTCTCCCTTTTCTTTTTTTCTCTCTACTTTTCCTGGCTTTTGTTCTTTCTCTACTTGGTTTTCGACACACTCATAAAACAACCCCACCTCTTTTTTATTAAGTAGCTAGGGCTCTGTGTAAAATGAAAGATCAAGGTCCATGGCTTTTACTTGGTCCAAAACTACTTATATGAGGCTGGAACCCATTTTCCTAACAATCTCTCCTTCCAGCTCCATTAGGAGGAGATTCATCACCATAGTAGTTTCATTTGGAACTTACCTTGGCCAGGGAACTCATTTAGGCTAAG